GAGCGCGGTGCGGGCACAACACTGAGGGTTGCGATCCCGTTGCCGGTCCCCGGTACGGGCGCGACACCGAGGTTTGCGATCCTGTTACCGGTCAGTAAAAAAGACAAAAACGAAAAAAAAAAAAAAGCTGCTGATAGATCAAATAAAATGGGGACTGAAAACTGATCACTGGATTTAGCAATGTGAAGGTTACTGGTGACTCTGACAAGAGCTATTTCAATGGAGTGGAAGAGAGAGAAGCCTACTTAGACTGGGTTTAACAGAGAATGGGACCAGATCCCCATACTGGACAGTAGCCAAAAAAAAGAAAGAAAAGAAAATAGAGAATGGGAGAGGAGAAATTATAGATAGAGCATACAGATGATAATTTTGAGCAGTTTTGCTGTAAAGGGGAGCAGAGAAATGAGGTAGTAGGTAAATGACAATGTGGGGTCAAGAGAAATTTTGTGGGTTTTTGTTTTTTTTTTTAAGGTGGGAGATAGTATTTGTATGCCAGTGAGAATAATCTAGTAAAAAGGAAGCCACTGAGTATGGAGGCAAGAGAGGGGAAAATTGCTGGGCAGGCAAAAGTGGATGGAATCTGCCACCCAGGTGGGAGCTAGACTTAGCAAAGAGGACAGACAGTTCATCCAATCTTCAGTAGTGAAGGTACAAAGGTGAAGACGTAGGTAGACTGATGGATGTGATGGGAGTATGTGGAAGGTTTCTTCTATTTTTCAGGAGTTTTCATTCAGGAAAACAAGTTATCGGACTTAGCAAAGAGGACAGACAGTTCATCCAATCTTCAGTAGTGAAGGTACAAAGGTGAAGATGTAGGTAGACTGATGGATGTGATGGGAGTATGTGGAAGGTTTCTTCTATTTTTCAGGAGTTTTCATTCAGGAAAACAAGTTATCAATTCAGAGTATTGGGGAAGGCCTGCCCCTTTAACTCAGTTTGTTAGAGAATAGACCTGATAACACCAAGGTCTAAAGTATGATACCTGTACTGGTCAGCTGCCAAAAACAAAACAAAAAACAAACAAAAAGTCAAGGGTTTAGATCCCCTTACTGGTCAGCCACCAAAACCAAAAAAAAAACAAAACAAAACCCAAAACAGTGAATATTGGGAAAAGATGTTAGATTTGAGCAAAGAGGAAAATGTGTAAAATAAGTCCCTTATGTCCCTGGTTCTCAAAATAGGCTGTGCACTGGGGCCGACCTGTGGCTCACTTGGGAGACTGTGGTGCTGATAACAGCAAGGTCCAGGGTTCGATCCCTGTAACAGCCAGCTGCCCTCTCCCCACCCCCCAAAAAGAAAATTTTGGTAGTTGAATGAACTACTTAGAGGAAACATACTGTTTCCAAAATCACCATCTGAATTAGAACCCAGGTGTCCTGGTTCCCTATCCCAAATGCTGATTTGCAGTACTGCTCCTTTGGTTCTGCCAATAATTCAGCTAATGCTGTTTCAGAGGCATCATTGGTTCTTCCCAGTCTGGCAACAGAAGGTTCTTCCCCTTTTTGGTCAGTTTCCTTACTAGGCCACTTCAAACAGTAAAAACAAATGGGACATGAGTGACAGTCACAGATGACAACACTGGCCTCCAAGATGAAGACACTTTCAACTAAACCTGGAACCCAGCAAAGCCTTCTATAAAGGAGGTTTCCGCAAAGAAACCAGCCATGAGCCTCAGAATGGTGCTTGTGATTTTTATCACAATTATGTTAACAGAACATTGCTAGGGTGTTGACATACATTCAACAACATTCATTCATTTATGAACATATAATGAAGACCTACTAAACACCAGATAACGTGCCAGGCACCAATTAATTCATATATATGTGAAATCTGATTAAAATATGCATCAAGTTGAGTTGCAAAAGGGCAAATGCATTGAGGGTTGTGTGTGGGTGAGGCAGCCAGGGGAGATACCTGGGGGGAAGAGGAGCAGCCGTTACTGATTAATGAATATACTAATGGTCTCAGGACTTGCATAGTGCCACCTCTCTCCCACTCAACTGACACAGTGCTCAATCTCCTGATAAAGGGACCCAGGGCAATCCTTTGAACTATCAAACCCTAAAAGCATCTCTGGTTACAGAATATAACTGTCTGTTGAAAAGACCACTAACTCAGGAGTTAGGAAATCTGGGAGGGGTCTAACTCTGGCCCTTCTCTATCTTGCTATGTGGCTTTATGGAAGTCATTTAACCTTTCTGGACCTCTGCTGCTTCATGTATAAAACAAGGGCTCAGTTAACTGTTTCTAAGATTCCTGTCTACTTTTCAGCTATTAAGTCTATGGTTCCAACCACATGGAGGGGCACACCTGGGAAATGAAATGGAGATGGGGACTATTGTTAGTGTTTAGCCCAGTCATGTAGCAATGACACATTCAGGACAAAAAAAATCAGAGACTGACCTGCAGCATCAGAGTCAGGACACGGCAGCTGATCGCAAACCTCAGCACCTCTTTCCGGGATGGGTCCAGGGGCCACATCCTCTCACCACCAGAAATTCAGGGGTGTTGCTACCAGGACCAAGTTCCCTCAGTCTTCTAAACTCCAAAACCCAAAGAAGAAGAGGTCACATATGAACTGAAAGCAAATTACTGAAAACATTCTTCATAGGAACCTCTCCATTCAGCATTACTATGGCAAACTTAACCATCTAACTTTCCCAGTAAGAGAAAAGCATCTTGAAGGCAGATGGAACAACTGGGTATCCCTCTGAGGCACTGTACAAGTATTCCTGTTGAAAAAGTTACACACAGATAAGCATGAAGCTGGAAAGACAAGCTCACTGAAAATCTTTAAAAGCCTGCTGAGAGCTCCTATGCAGGAACTAAAGACCTGGGTTCAAGTTCCTGACTCTGTCACTTATAAGCTCTCATTTAGTCCTTCTGAACCTCAGTTCCTTATGTATAAAATGGGATCATTTGAAAAGACTACTAGCTCAGGAGTTAGGAAACCTGGGGAGGGGGGTCTAACTATCTTTTTTTTTCCTATCTCGCAAAATTGTCATGATGGTGAAATGGACTAAACTGTGAAGTACTACACAAATCCATGTTGTGGTTGCTATTATTTGGTGTGTGCCCTTTTTCTCTTGCCCAGAATAATAAACTAGGTCCCAAACCAGAGTCCCAAAAGTGGGGCATTGAACTGTACTCAAAGACCATAATGACTACACACTTCAGCTTAGCTCTCTGATGTGTATTCAGCTGGTCTGTTAAATTAAGTGGAGAAGGAAAAGAAAACCACCACTCAGCAGGACTTGAGCCAGCTCACACTGCTAAAACAAACAGAGTGAAGACAGGGTCGACTACTACGGATGGAGAAAACTTATTTCCCATCTCTTTTTTGGAATGGCAGCAATGTATAAACAATTGCAAAGCCATTCTGAGGCAAAGAATGCACTTTAAGGCATTTTCTACAATTCTTTGGGCTAAAAGAAGTAGTATTGGCTCCTACAGAACTTTCAAACGCCAGCCTGGAAAATAAGAAAGGAGGGCAAGAGCATCAAAGGCAGCTCATCGATTTGGAGTGAAGAGCTATGCGTAAAAGAAAAAAAAATTAAACTGAGAAATTTAACAAGGAGGGCTGGAAAGCTTTCCTTTCTTTTTTTATATAATACCTACCAAACCTTTAGGTATCACCTGTTTCTGGAATTCTTCTCTGATCTTCACCAGACTATGTGTTATGCTCTCATAATATGCTCTCATTGTCCTCTGTCTTGTCGTCTTTATTGCTATTGTTTATTTAAGTCACTTGTGAGGGCAGGAGCAACTATATTCTCAGGGCAAAGCAGGCAAACAGAGATCTTAAACCTGTGTTCTGAATGACTGGAAGTGGTAGGGACAGGATTCAGCATCACCAGTTCACTGACTCTAGATATAAAATCATTGCTCCCACTATTCCTCCTACAATATCTCATGTTAACAGCAAGACAACAAAGTCACAGAAACCACAAGAAAAATTTCCACAGAAAGGAAACAAGGCTGGTCAATAGCAACAGTACTGGTTCCTTTGCACCAGGGGGCGCCTGCTGCTTACACCATCACCAGGAGGCCTGCAGGAAGGGAGGAGCCACTAACTCCACACCGGTTTGCTCATGAAAATTCAGTTCAAAGGAGAGCTGCAAACCCCAGAGAGCAGCGGTACTTTGTGAATCTACCTACATTTCCAAACATCTGACTCGCTGAACCGAGAGAAATCACAGAAACAGGCACACCCAACATCACACGCCTGCTCCTTCTCTGAGGGTCAATTCACTTTTTCCCTTCCTTGACTTCCCACCCAAATGCAAGTTGGGAAAAGAAAAGCACTTAACCCACCTCTGCTTCTTGACCAAGGTTGCATTCTTCCTTTCCTCTCTCCAGAGTCAAGCTTAGCCCCAGCGACCACAGGAGATTTGAAGCCCACATTTAGTTTACATGTAAACCAAATAAAAACAAAATAGAGCCAGTCAGTTCTCCCTCTCAGCTAATTGCTAACCTCACTTCCCAACAACCCCTTTGCCGAATCACAGGCTCTCTTAACTGGCAGGACATTTACAGATCAACCAGTTTCACTCTGATTTTCCCGTGAGATAAACAGGCCCCAGGGATCTCATTAGACCCTGTGAGGCCAGTATAATTACCATCGCCATTTTATGAACATGGAAACTGAGTCTCACTAGGGTCAAGTGACACACCCAAGGCTACTTAAAGAGAGTGTCGTGGGGTTTTTTTTTTGCTTCTGAAACCTCACGGTACCAGCCCTCATCCCTGGCCAAAGGGTATGCACTCTTTCTGAACCAGGATTACATGTAACCCAGGTCACCCAGCGCCTAACCTAGTATTTCCTCCAATAGTACAGGAGGCTTTTGCTGGGTATGCTTAGGGTAGGTGGGCCCTGAGAACTTGGGACATCCTGCTGAACTGAAGCCCTCGACCCTGGGTAAGACTAACTAACACCCTCTGTGGGGTGGAGAAGCCGCTCTGACCCAGGGTCCTCGGGGCCAAAGACCTTGTAGGCCGTCCCGACCCAGGGGCTGCCCTCTGCCAGCCTGGCCGGCTCCGAAGCCCGTACTAGCGTCCTCCTTTCGGACACAGTCCCTACCGGGGACCGTGTATCTACCCTCACCCCACAGGGTGCACGACCCAGGGGCTACTCCCGAGGGAGGAGGCGAAGCACAGCCAGGCCACAGGGCCGGAAGCACGCGAGGGCGGGAGGCTGTAAAGGAAGAGGCGGCGCCGGAGGCCGCTATGGCGGAGGGGCGGAGCTCTCCGATTCTCCGAGGCCTCCACCTCATTCCTCTAGGACTCCGTTTGACAGCTTCCCTCCCCTCAGAACTCCAGGGCTCCCAAGCTGACGCCGGGTCCCCAGCGCCCGCCCGTCCCGACCTCCCCCGCGGGGCCCGAACCGCAGCACCTCCATCCGGGGCCCGAGCGGCATACGCCTGCGCGCTGGCTCTGTCGACGGCGGCCCCGCCCCACTCCTGCCCGGACTCGGAGCCGCCCCTCCTCTCTCCGCCGCGGCCATGTTGACTCCGGGCAGGCGAGCGGGGCGGGGATGGCAGCTCCGCGCTTCTCCTTGTAGCGCCTTCCCTCCTTGGTGACACCTGAGGAGTTCTCTCTCACACTTCGCCCTCCTCCACGCCCCCTCCTCCGCTTTCCATTAGGGCGGCGGACCTGCCGTCTCAGAGCCGGTGCTGCCCCTCCTCCCTCCGCCGCGGCCATGTTGACTCCGGGCAGGCGAGCGGGGCGGGGATGGCAGCTCCGCGCTTCTCCTTGTAGCGCCTTCCCTCCTTGGTGACACCTGAGGAGTTCTCTCTCACACTTCGCCCTCCTCCACGCCCCCTCCTCCGCTTTCCATTAGGGCGGCGGACCTGCCGTCTCAGAGCCGGTGCTCTTGCCCAGTCCCCTCCCCAGAACGTTCCCTGCATTCCCGATGTGGGCCGAGGCTCTCGTAGTTGGGGGCTGCCCCGCGGCCTCTTCACAGAAGCCGGAGCTGCGCTTTCCCTGCTGACAAGCAACAACAGCTCAGCACAGCGCCTGGCATACAATAGATGTTCTCTGAATAGTCAAAGGAAAGCTTTCTTGGGGTTTCTGTGGCCGGCAGCGGCACCCTGCGTGCCGGCTGCGAAGAAAGTGGGGGATCTCCCCGACTTTCCCCTCCTCCGCCTCCCAGGGATCTTCTGTCCTACTTCATCCCTCAGCCCCACCTTAGGTGACTAATGAGGATGGTGAAGGAAACCTCAGAGAACAGCCCCAGGACTCCTTTCTACCCCGTCACTCAAACAATTTCTCTGGTAGGAAGTGGGGTCGAAAAAGGAAAAAGAAGCCAATTCCACAAAAGCGTCTGTTAGGGAGGAGCGGCCAGTTGGTACCCCCACAACGGAAACTGTTAGAACAACTTTGCACCCTCCTCAAAGGAAACAGATAATAAATCCTTCTCCGTTGGTGGATTTCTTGTTTCTCAGGATTCCAAAGCCTTCTGTGGTTTCAGTTATCTGCCCTGCAAACGGAGCTAGGGTCTGGGTTAGCCTCTGGCCGCAGCCCGGGCCGAGGGAGGGGTTTATCTTCTACAACAGCTACTTATGGGGTGGGAACAAAGAGATGCTTGCTATCTCTCCGGTCAGAGAAAACTAACCCACATCATTCTGCGGGGGCCAGGGGCTGTATCTTTCGGTTCTTCATAACTCATTTCAGGCCCCAAGACCTAAACGGCCCTTAGATATTTGTTGCGTGTGAGGTGGATAAAATACAAATCATATTTAGTCGTTGTGGGTTGGGAGAAGGGGAAAAAATTGAGTTTAGAAGGCCCTTCCCCCAGCTTTTTCAGTGACGCTCACTAGTTCTCAGCTTTTGAGGCCTGTGAGTAAGATGGCAAAGCCTGGGGGCACACTTGTGATTGGGGCCTAAGGTTGTGACTTGAATCTCTAGGACCTCGGTGAGGCTCCAAGCGGGGCTCTAAAGACAAAACTGAGAAATGAAGTGTTCTTGCTCTGTGAACTCACAAGGGAAAAAGACATGCATTCCCAGGGTGCCCTCTGTCCACCAAATTCCCTCAAAAGTCCATTTGTAAAAAGGCCAGGGGTCTCTTGTGACAAGTTAAAATGTTTTTTTAACAGCTCATCTATCATGCTGTAGAGGTAGAACTTTGTCCAGATCTTCAGCTCTACTTTCCTGCAATTTCTGCTTCCTTTCCTTCTCTGCTACCCAACCCCCTCCTCTTCCGCTCTGTTTCCTGTTTCATTTTCTGGCTACTGCTCCGACAGGAAAACAAGGAAGCTGAATCTTGTGCTTTCAAAGCCCTGGCTCCCTGGCTTGTCAGATTAGAAGAAGGCTGGGTGGGCAGGGAGGGGATTCTGGGGCTCTGAGGCTGTGAGTGAGTGGTGAAGGAGGCGGCTCTCTCCAGTCTGCTTTTAGAGTCTGCAGCTAAAATGGAGCCTGCATCAACACAGGGAGCCAGCTGAGCTATCAGAACTGTGGAAAGCAAACGAGATAGAGCCATATCCCAGGGCTCCAGAAAGACTACACCTCCCAGCCACTTCAATTAAGAAGCAAATATCACACACCACCAGGAAACAATTTCATAAGACAAACCCCTAACTTAATGCAAGCAATATATCACTATTTCTAGAATCCTAGAATTAAGATTACATCATTTCTGTTCGTTGAACTTGCCTGGCTCTGCTCTTGCTATTTCTCCTGCATGAGACCACCGTTTGGCTAGTCCACTATAGTTAGTACTCAGCAGAGATGTCACTGCCTCAGGGAGGCTTTCCCTGACTTCTCAGCCACAATATCAACCTGTACTATCCCATCACTCTATTCTATTTTCTTCATAGCACTTAACATCATCTGCTTGTCCTGTCCATGAATTTTATTCATTTCATTGTCTTTTTCTCTCTTCTAGAAAGTAAGCTTCTGAATGTAATAGAAGAGCAAAGACTTTGTTCACCATTGTACAAGGGTACTTCAAAAAGTTCATGGAAACATTATTATTTTTTTTTTTTTGCAGCCAGCTGGTACAGGGACCTGAACCCTTAATGTTAGTGTTATAACACGGCGCTCTAACCAACTGAGCTAACTGGCCAGGCCTATGTTAGCTTTTAATTGTATTTCTCCACAAACATTCTGAAGTACCCTCATATTCCTGGTGCTTAGAACAGTACCTTACATATACATTGTGTGTCTTCATTAAAGATCTGATGGATATATCATTTGTTTAATCTGATGCCTATATTTAATAGATGCAGGAACTAAGGCTCACAAAGAGGAAATGGCTGGCCTAAAGTCACATACCTAGTGGTAGAGATGGAACTTGAACTCAGGTCTCCAACTTCCCAGGCTGGTTCTTTCTACCACCCTACACTGTTTTAACAGTTCCTACTTTCTCTTTCCTCTACCAAATTCTTATTTTGGGCTGGCTCGCTAGCTCAGTTGGCTAGAGCTTAGCCTTGTAACACCAAGGATCCTCATAGGGGCCAGCCTCCACTATCTTACCTGCTTTGATGTATTCAACAATATAGGAATGCCTACCCTGTGAAAGGGCATGAGGATGTAACACTGAACAAAACAGACACAGTCCTTGCCTTCATGGAGATGATGATAATATCTACCTCACAGGATTCATAGTGTGTGGAATAAAGTACTCAATAAAGATGGGCTTTATAACTTCCTAAACAAAAAAGAGACTTTCCCACTGAAGGTGTAGAGAATGAAATTAGGTAGTTCTCATGGAACACTTACCTAACTGGAGCAATCTGAAAATTCATTTCTCTCTGTACCTGCCTTGCCTTGCTCCTGCCTCCACATCTGGAGATGGCCTTGGCCCCAAGCTGGGTGGAGGGACAGCCCGTTATATCTACTCTCAGTAGCTCAGTTTCCAGACACTAAACTTTCCATGGCCCCAATCCTATAGGATTGGAGTAGCTGACCCCGATCTGGAATGTTGGCTCTGAGGCTATGCCATTGTGGGGCAAAAATGACCAAACCAGGGGCCAGCCCGTGGCTCACTCAGGAGAGTGTGGTGCTGATAACACCAAGGCCCCGGGTTCGGATCCCATATAGGGATGGCCGGTTCGCTCACTGGGTGAGCGTGGTGCTGACAACACCAAGTCAAGGGTTAAGATCCCCTTACCGGTCATCTTTAAAAATAAATAAATAAATAAAATAAAATGACCACACTGGCCTTTGATTCCTGTCACCATCAACTGTAAGCAGGCAGGGATAATGCCCGTGATGACATACAGCTATGCCTTACCAGAACTTTTTACTACTTATTTTTGTCATGGATAGAAGGGCATTCATTGGTAGTTTCCAAGGATGCTGGGTGACATTTAAATCCATCCTGAGGGCCGGCCCGGTGGCGCACTGCTACAGTGCGCCGCTTGGGAGCGTGGCTGCGCTCCCGCCGAGGGTTCGGGTCCCACATACAGACCGGCCGCTCACTGGCTGAGCAAGGTGCGGGCGCAACACCGAGGGTAGCGATCCCGTTGCCGGTCCCGGTCCGGTACGGGCGCAACACTGAGGGTTGCGATCCGTTGCCGGTCACGAAAAAAGACAAAAAGGAAAAAAAAAAAAAAATCCATCCTGACATGGGGGCTAACACCAATCAGGTCTTGGACATTTATCTAAAGCATCTTTTTTGGCCTCCGCTGGTGCACTTGAAGATGCCCATCTACTCCAGGACAAAGACCCCACCCTATCTCCAATCACGGGAGCCAAACACTGATCCTTTAAAGCCCATGAACACTAGATATTCTTCACCTTTCTTTCCTTCAGTGTTTGCCTTTCAGTGGTTAGAAAACCTTGACCCCACTGACAAGCCTAGTGGGAAAGGCTTAGCCACTTGGCGGTGGCAGTGGCTGCAAGGCAAAAAGAGCCAATGAGGTTGAGAGTATTGTTTAGGCTGTACTTGGCTGCTTTCCAGCTATGAAAGAAGGTTAAGGTCATTTGGGGGTGGGGAGGGAGGAGCCTGGGAAAATGACTACTGGCCACACCCCTGGGTTCTCTACTGGCAAGGTTCTATTTACTTCTCAAAAGCAAATTACTCACAGCTCAGTGGCTAGCAGTTCTCTTGGCCCTGGTAACTCCAGTCAGAAACTGGAGACCAGGCGAGGTTCCCCCCTGCATTGCAGGAGGGCAGATGAAAGGAACCCAGGAAACTGAACTCCTAGGTAATGCT